ATCATAGATAAATAACAATTTTAATAAAAAAATATCAAATAATTAATTTATGTGGATATTAGTGCTTTTAAATATCAATTTTATGCAGAATGTTTATTGATACAAGTAGGTAAGTAATGACAATGGAAAAGATTTACGCCCCAGAACTCAAAACTGAAAGAGTTTTATCCACTATACCATTTATCTAGAAATTACAGATGTTTAAATATATGTGTCTATTTGTTAGCAAAGGCTGTAGGAAAGTATAATTTGTCTCTATTTAGAAAATATGGAGGTCGTGCTCGTTAAGTTTTCTTGTTGGAACAGTGTAGATTGACCCTGAAGTCTGGCAATGGCATAACGACACAACAATAGGCCCATAAGTAACATTATCTGGGTGGGCCCCATATGAAGTACAACACTCTGGATTACCCATAATTCCAAGTAGTAGTGTAAAAAAATAAAATACTCAAATACCTCGTTCTTTTAAGATCTTCATTATGGTTTGAAATATATTATGTGTATTTTTTTACCAATTGTCTAATGAACTATACACAGTTATTAACATAGTATTTAAAAGTACCACTGTCTGCTTTGTTATTGGTGTCGTGTTTAAACGGCTCACCATCATGTTAAAATCTGACATGCCTTGGTGTATTAATAAGGTCCGGTTGGTTATCTTAAAATCAGGTGGGTTTTAAGAGGAATTTTTCGCACCATTACATCTGCAATCAGACGTCTAATCCACAATTGCGTAGGGGGCCTAACAGGAGTCAGTGACGCGGGCCCCTAAGAGGCCGGGGCCGTAAGCAACTGCAGACTCTGTTTACCTATATTTGCGCCATTTGGTTCTGGTGCCTATATAGTTTCGGCCACCCCTCACTGTACATTGGTTATCGCCTGGCCACCCTTATAAACATTTTCTGGCTACGCCTCTGCTATCCAGGTCCCCAGGCATGTGTCAGACTCCAGGTTCTCTGTGAGGAACCTTGAAGCTGTTTTTTTATTTATTTCATTTCATTTATTTTTGTGAAACCGGGAATAAAAAACAAATATGAAGATGAACCACTAATATAAAACGATCAAAATACTCGGTTTATTTTCTAAGATCATATCCTCGGAGGAGCCCATCGGGACTGTCACTACGAACCGCTGCTTTTTCTTCTATTTGGACCACAGCATGGCTGCAGGTTATTAAAACCACACAATGATTGTCATAAAACAGTTTGTGGACACACAGGACAGATTTTCATCCCGCAGTGATTGATTATTTATAGTGTCTCTGCCACATTTCGCCTCCTCTCCGTAAAGCCCAGCAGCAGATTTCCTGCAGGAAATTCCCAATAAACTGTTTCCATTAATTATTAAACTTCCCATCAGAGTTAATCTAGTGACATTTGAATAATCTAAATCTTTAAAATCGCGTCTCATTTACCTTGATCGGAGAAACACTTGGCAGCTGAGCTCTTTAAATGCCCCAACGGTTGTTTACGCTGACGTCAGCGCGCATGAGCGAAGAGCGCATGCGCCGTTACATTTAAAATTTGAAAGTAGAAAACAAATGTTATAAAAAAAATAGCATTTTTGATTCAGTTAAAATAGATATGCCGTATTAAAAAGTATTATCTATAGTGAAAAAAGATGTGAGATATTGAAAGTATTTTAATATTTAACCAATAATATATTAAAAATGTATGTTTCCGGGACGGAGTCTGGTCATCGTCTCTACTGCGCATGCTCTCCTGTAACCCGGAAGTTTTGAATCCAGCAGGAGAGTTGCGGGAATCCCGCGGAGCTTCTTGTTTTGATCTGTTGACTGGTTTTGGCCATCATTTAAAAGTTTTCAAATAGTTTATTCTCCGAACCTTTTCCTGCTCGTATTTCCCCCAGAAACAAACATTTAAATCTTATCCCGTTCCTGTGCCGAAAAACAAGCAGGGTGTCTGGGAAGAGTCGCTCTCAGTCCCGCCCCAGAGCAAAGCCTCATGTCCGGCTTCGGACTGGTTCGGGTGGACAGCGGTGATGTAGTCCCGCTGCCGCCGGGTGAGACGGTGCTGGGTCGGGGTCCCTTGCTCGGGGTAAGTCCTACTGAGAGGTTCGCATGATTCACCCTGATATATCAGCTCCTCTTAGTTATCGAAGGGGTCCAAAGGTCGGATTGTTGATGAGAAGCTGGGTTTCCTGGGACCAGTCACCTGCTTCTACTCTGGATTCAATTATTAAAAACTGTCTTTATATGGGGTGCCGTTTGTAAAGTTATCCAGTCAAATATTTGCAGCAATATTTTAACTTATTTAGCCTCAAATCATTGAATAAAATGGGGTTAATATTTCAACATCTCATCATCACCATATAATTCATACATTTATAAGTATTACATTTCTAAATTAATTATAATTAATATAATAATAACTATAAAATTAAATATTAGAAAATGTATATATAGAAAATAATATCTAACTTGTTAAATGAATATCTATTTTTTTTTCTCAAATTAAATATTTTGTTATAAAATAAATATTTATTTCAATTCAGTTTATGTTTATAACACATCATCTGAAGGCATTTTATAGAGACGATTCAACCAGATCATCCAGTCAAAATGATTCAAAGTTTTCTACCTAAGGAAAACCAGCTGATTGCATCAACTCATTGACTTAAAGGCAATCCCTCACACTGAGCATGCATTTAGCGACCGTGGAGAGGAAAAACTCCCTTTTAACAGGAAGAAAACCTCCAGCAGAACCAGGCTCAGTGTGAGCGGCCATCTGCCGAGGCCGACTGGGGTTCAAGGAGACAGAAGCAGAGATACAAAAAGCAGCTATAGAAGGCGGACCCGTCCAGGAAACACAGCCAGGCAGACTAGCTCCCAGCCAGCTCCCATGTCAGAGGATGAAGAGAGCACAACCAGTTAATCACAGTCAGAGAAACAGGACTACACTGGAAACTAAAACTAAATATTAGTGTCATTTATCTATATTTATTTATATTAAACACAAACTAAATATTTATTTACTACAATAAATATTTAGTTCTAAAGCAATTATTTAACTTTTACTAACCTACCAATGGAAGGTACAAAACAAAAGCAGAGTCTTCACATCCTCTGCTTGCAAAACTGAACCGCTTCAGGAGCACTGTCTTCTTTTAATAATAACTCTTATAATTCTTCAGATAATAAAAAAAAATATATATATATATAGTAACATAGAGCAAGAAATTTTTAAAAGCTACACAGACTTTTAATAATAGATCTACATCAACACAGCCTGAAAGAACCTTTTACATATAGCTGCTGTTGGTGATCATATGATTAAAAAAAAATACTAATTTGAGTTTTTGAATAACCAAAATATTGCTGCGACTATTTCACCGGGTAGCTTTACGAACTTTTACAGCCTCTGATCCTCAGTGTGATTTTTTATTGTTCTTAAATGTCAGAAATGGAAAACATAGAAATGCACTAACAGATATGCTTTTTATTCTTAAAGATAAAGCAGCATTTTTTGAGTGATGAAGGACATGTCTAATGTATGGAGTGAATTCTGTTATTGTTGCAGGCAAATAACATGTTTTGAAAAATGGAAATTAGACAAAATACTATTAGTAAATTGAGATATATAGAAAATGCTATTCAGATATGAAACTTTTAAAAATATTTGAATAAAAAAAGGTTTTCAGAGTAACTTTTGTGTTTTCTCTGATTTTGTTTTTTTCAATTTTAGATTTTTTCATGTTATTTTTTTCACATTATGTTTAAACATTTTCCTTAGATTTATATTTTCAATGTTCATTCATATTTCTCTTTTGCAGATTCAATTTTAAAAGTTTTATTCTTTTCAAGCTGCATTTTTCCAGATTCCATTCTCTTGGCTTCTGGGGGAAGGGGCGGGCTTTCCTCTGGAGTGATTGACAGTTTTTATTGGGCTTAAAGTGAAGAGAATCTGAGCTTTAAAACGCAATTTGAAAATAATACAATTTGTTAAACTCAAATAAAAAAAACGAAGATAAAAGTGAAAACATTTTTAGAAAAGAATGGGGGGAAAAAAATCTAATTTGTAATAATAAAATCAGTAAAAGTTCTTTTACAGATTTTATAATCACAAATTTTACAAAAAAACCCCAGCAATTTGAAATAACAAAACCCAAGAAAACAGCAGATTTAGTCTTAAAATATTTCTTTTCTGTATTTTTTCAAATTTTAGTTTAAGAAATATGGCCTTTCTTGTAAGAATGATGGACTAAAATTCACTCCATAATTTAAAACAATTTCCCTTATGAGTGGAACATTTCAGCTTCAAATTTAAAATGAAAAATTTTCAAGTTAGACATTTTAAAATGAGTATTGATAGATTTATTTGCTGAAATGAAAAATTAAATATTTTATATCTCATTGAAAGTATGTGACATAATGAGCATTCTTGGAGAAGAGAAAGAAAACGCATTTTGAGTGATCTATTTCATTTATTCATGAGTCAAAATATGCACCTGTGACTTTTAAAACCAAAAAAGCATTTCTGTTCATACATTTATATTTTCAAACTTAACATTTCAAAGTAAATTTTGTCTTTTTTTGTGACATCTTTTGAAAATTAAATGTTATTTATATGTAATTTTAATTAATGCAGCATAAAAAAGCAGTTTGGGTGATATATCTTTTTTGTTAAATGCAGCTTTATCTTGAAAATGAAAAAGCATATTTTTAAGTTTTTAAATAAAAAAATAAAAAAATATGACAAATTTGCTTCAAGAAATCAGAATCTCTACTAAGATTCTCAAAACATAATTTAATATTTAATTTTGTTTGAAATAAATTCTTTCTGTAAAGAAAGCCTGTATTAAACAGAGTTTACCTATATTTTAACCTAAGAAGGTTTCATGTCATCATAAATGGTTTGATGCTGCTTCCCTGCATCCATTATGATGAACTCTGGGAATTTGACTGAAGAAAAGTCTAAGAATTTCCTCGTGAAAGGAGTGTTTCACTGTGCCGGTGCTTCTGTGAGCAGTGTGTCTGTATCTGTGATGTCTGCAGCGAGGAAACATCAGGAGAGAAATGTTTTAATCAGATTCCCTTTTTCTGTGTTTTCTCCTGCTGTCAGATCAGTGACACCAGAGTTTCCAGACACCACGGGCTGCTGGAGAACCTGAACGGACAGCTGCGACTCAAACCGGTGCGTTGGTGATCAGTTAGATATCCTCGCTGCCTCACGGCTTTTCTGATTACTCAGTAAACCTCATCTTTTTACTATGTCTTCCAAACAGCAGGATTCCTCTCCATCTGCAAAAGAGGGGAAAATTACATTAAAATGAGATGTTTTTAGATTAATTTTAAACTATAGAGAGCTGTTTTAATCAAAATTAAATAAAAAGAATAAAACTGTAATAGAAAATTTGAAAATAATGTTATTGATAAAATAACAAAATTTCATTGTAAAATAGAATTAGACTTAGACTTCTTTATTTGTCATTTTGTATGCACAGAGTGCATACAGAACGAACTTGCGTTGCATACAGCTTATGAACATTGCATTGATATTTTGAATGAGATGGAATACCTTTCCGGATTGTTACACACGAGTTATACAAAAAGTGCAGCAGTGGTCAAAGTGTAAACAGTGCAGTGGATAAAGACAGTGTGCAAATTGCAATGTATGTTTTCGCAGATTTTGTCACTTATGTTTTTTACTTCAAAATGTATTCTTTAAATTTACAGACACATAAGGCTGTGTGTGTGTGTGTGTATATATATATATATATATATATATATATATATATATATATATATATATATATATATATATATATGTGTGTTTGTGTGTATGTGTGTATATGTATATATATATGTGTGTGTATATATATAAAATTAAAAAAGCTTAACAAATAAAAAAACTTTATGAAATATATGAAGTATGAAACAATTCTTGAAATAAATTCAAACCAAAAAGCTAAAAAAAGATTTGTTGTTATCCTATTTATGGCCATCATTGAGACATTTTATTTATTTGATGAAATACTTCTTAATTTATTTATGACAGTTATAAGATATTTCAATTTGAATAAAACGTGTCGCTTTGTAAATCAGCTGCTTTGTTCAACAATACATGCATGTTCAGTAGGGGGCGCTCTGGGACAGAAACTCATCATCACCTCCTCCCAGCAGACCCACCTGAATCCCTGCTTCATCCTGTCCTCCCTGAACGATGACCCCCGACCCCTGGAGAGAGGCTCCTGGCACCCGCTTCAACACGGAGACCTGTTCTCTCTTATGCCGGGTCGCTTCATCTACAGGGTGGAGGCCGTGGGCGGGGAGGAGAGCACACTCAGGTACTTGTCTCTGAAGCGTTCTCATGGCAACAGTATCGTCGCTCTGAATAATTACCTGAATGAGGTCAATTTCTGAGGTGGGCTTTATTTCTGCAGCAGGAGTGAAGGAGTCAGATGTTCTCCGTTGGCAGAGTGTCGATTCATGTTTTTTGATTTATGGCCGCTCTCTATTTGAAGCTTACCTCAAACAGATTAACAAGGACCCTCAAGTGAACGTCTGCAGCGTCCAACCAGCTGAGGCCCATGAAACATTCATGTCCCTCCTGACGCTCTAAGAACATTTCTGTCTCACATCTATTTCTGCAGAAACAGTCAGAACTTAGAAGAAAAAGAAGAGGAAGAGCTTCCTGTTCCCACTGGATCCATCGTGGAGGCGTGTCCTGCGGTTGGGCCGCAGCAGGAACGGATTTCAGATCCGAATGGAATCCAACCTGGAACAGGTTTCAAAGAGGTCTGTACTGCAGAGTGGAAAAATGTTTAGTTGCATTTGCAGAGCAGCAAATGGTATCAACCAGAAAAACAACCCAGATCTCAGCCAGGAGGAAAAGACAGGCCGCTTCACTTTGTTTTATACATACCCAATTGACGCCCACATTTTCATTTTAAAACATTTATTAAAGATGCAGATTTTGTAAGCTCTATATTAAATGTTCAATCCTCAAAGTCATCAAGTTTTACTGCTAATTATCTAAATAACTTCAGTTTTTGAAAACCTTATTTAATAGAATAACAATGGCCTCACAAGCCGGAAAGATATGGAGTCACTTTTATTCTGTTATTGATGCAAAGAGCAGGTTTTAAACACGTCCGACATGAAAACTGGCTCAGAGCTCATCTGATTAACTTTTTCTTTTCCAGACAGAGCTGGAACTAGTTTACCATTTCTGTCAGGTTGTGTTTCTAGCATACAAAGTATTAGAAGTGTTTAAAAAATTAATTCCAGAAATCAATCTTTGTAAAGTTTCTTAATAATAAAAAAGGTTTTAAGAGAAATGTTTCTATTGCTGATTTTTTTTCTGTGCAGGTTTTGTATATTTTCAGATTATGTATCAGATTGAATCATAAAAATTACCTTCTTTTCAGATTGCGTTTTCCAGATCACATTCTCCTCACTTTCGTCTGGAAAGATGAGCAAAGACGCATTTCTATTGGTCTGCTGGACGTTAGCAAGAACATTTTTATTAGACAAGAGTGATCTTAGATCTAATCTAAATCTAAAATCAGTTTTTTAATGAATAAAAAAATAATAATAAAAAAAAATCTAATAAAAAAACTGCAAAGTTACTCTCAAACCTTTTTGATTTTAGAAGTTTTTGAGAAGTTTAATTAGCATTTTTTTATTTACGTTTACAAAAAGGTTTTTTTTGCAACAATAATGATACAAAATTCCCTCAATAGGAAGATAATGAAATCATCAATTTAATTGTTCTTTGATGATGGATCTCTTTTTTTTCCTTTAGGATAATTCCACTCGACGGCCACGGAACAATAAAAGCGAGGAGTCTCCACCTGCTCCAAGGAGGAGAGTTTTACCTGCGTGGATGATGGCAGCTGCTGCTCCAAAAGGTGACTCACTGAGACACTAAGTTTCTTTTGAATCATCAACATCCCGGTTTATTTTAATATTATTTAGGGAATTATTACTTTTATTTATGAAATTATTTATTTTATTATTCAATATTGCAATACGATGTGCATTTACAGTAAAAATTGCAGAAGGTGTTAAGTTAGATTAACAGGGTTTCTGCTGGTCATTAAAAATCCTTAAGAGTCATTAAATAATTATTTTTCAAATCAAGGCCTGAATTGGCATTAATATTCATTAAATGTGATTAATTTTGCATAGAAAATTCTTTATTTGGAAAAAATGTTTTTTATAAAAACTATTTATTAAACGATATATATATTTGCAAATATATTGCGAGATATTATATCGCATATTTGCGCAGAACTGCTTCTGGTTGATCGTAAAGCCATAGGTTCGGAAAAGAAGCTCGAATGGAAAATGCTCATTTCAACAAAAGTGGCTGGAAATTGAGTAATGCAGCCTGCTGACAGTAAAGATGAAGACGGAATTTGCTGTGTACGTATGAGAGTACTGGGTACTTATTGATGGCATAAAAAAAATTTTTTGTTACTTATTTTCAGTTATTTATTTTCCTTTTTTTTTATTTCGTGTGTCATTTATGTAAGTAGGACCCATGTTGGATTCAATTATCTATTTACGGTAAACCTTCACTTCCAACTAGGGATGCACGATATAATCGGCCCCCTATCGGTATCTGCCTTAAAACTGAATATCGGACATCGGCCACCCCACCGATATTTAACCCGATATTTGATCAGCTTCTGAGTTTCTAAAGTCTAAAAAAAAAAAAAAAAATACTACTTCTTCTTCATCCTCAAAAACTTCTTTTTTACAGACTTAAAAACTTCT